TGAATCAAAGTTGCTCGAGTTAAATTTCTTCAATAGTAGAGGTTTTCTTCCTTTATAAAGTGAAACTCTCGTTAAAGTTCTTATTCCCAATTTAACCACATCTGGAAAGTGTCTATCCATGGTGTTTGTGCCAATTGTTGTAGTCCATGGAAACAAACAAAGGCTCACATGATGAAGTGTATCTTAATTTTTCTATTTAAGACACAGAGGGGAGGAGTACTTATGAAGAGGAAGACGATGAACATTGTAAAATCGAGGTTCCACTGGTAAAAGGAGTAAAAAAAATTGTTGACGTGGGCTATGATGCGATGCCAACTTGTCGCCACATCAGCAATTTTAAAATAACCGTACGCATAATTTGACATGTCATGTGTTACGTTAATATGGACAAACGGTATGATCTAAATCTAACAAATACAAGAAATTTCTCCTTTTGAAAATATAGGAAGACTTTTGAAATATATATTTATTGTAAAAAAATTAAATATTTTTGTATAAACAAGGAGAATTTTAGTATTTTAGCATTTAAAAAAAATGACTTTTTGTTATGATTCTAATAGCACAGATCAAATTATATATTGTTCATTTCACAATTGTGTAGGGCATAAAATACTAAGAATTGTAGTAGGTCAATTCATGGTGTATTTCATATAACTCCAACTTGACCTTAGTTGAATAACATAAACTTGAATCCACCCTGAGGAAACCTTTGCACGTTTCCGTTACCTTTTGAGATATCTATGCCTCATAAGGACTGTTTACCTGACACTGTCCCTTAACTCGTAAGTATTAACAAAAAGTTTGAGTTTTAACTCTATGTATCATATGTGTCTGTAACTTCTCCCTCAAAATCTACTCGTAGCCTAAAGTTGCTAGATGGAAAGTTAAATCCCAAAGTAATTTACAGAATCGATGTTCATTTTGACACCTAGGATTTTGAGTTAAAATTGACACGTAACCAGGTTGTTGATACCTTCCTTTCTCCTTTTGTTTTCTCAGTTTCCCTTCTTTATTTCTTTCTCATTCTCTCCTTGTCCTTTTTGGTACTTTTCTATTACCATTTTACACGACATATATCCATGTCTCAATTATATCAGAAACCCCATTCATAGCTATTTCATGTCAAATGAGCTATTTTTGTAAAAGAAAACCATGACTGAAAGATGAATATTGTGGCAGCTTCAGTTTCTTTGCTTGAAGAAAAAATCAGCTAGTTATGGCTACAGTGTTTTAGAGAAGACAGAAGATGGTTGACAGTTATTACTGCATGAAGATGTAAAGAAGATGAAGAAAATCAACCAGCCAACAATTGTAGCTATGTGAAGATGAGTATGGTGGTGCAGCTCTGGCTTAGCGAAGAAGAAAATCAATTGAGGCAACAACGTTACTATGACGCCTAAATATAGAGGAATGATAACTTGTTGAAGATTGTTTTAGTTTCTTTTTTTTTTTTTTTTTTAATAATTTCAAATATCTGTATTTTATAGTTTCAATTAACATCAATGTAGATATTTTTAATTAAATCAAATATAAATATATAAAGCCAGGTTGGAGCAAATTCTTGCACCATCCCATTTTGCCCTGAATTTATGTTGACCCAAACCTATGATTAGGTTTGAAAATTTGCTTCAAATTAGGTTTTGGCACGTTAGATTATGCAGACTCCAATAAATATATATATATATATATATATACACACGTGTCTCATCCCTAAGCCCCATTAGAAAGTCATGCTTCAAAGGGTTAATACATG